CGCACCGGGCCTTCAAAACCAACGGACCGGCCCTATCCAAAACTCTTGCATGGAAGATTATGAAGAGCCAAGATTGCATTTTTTTGATTCTAGACTCACTATTATGTTTGAAATGACAGTCCAAACCTATGGAGCATTCCAAACTCACGAAGATCAAGTATTTGGGATCAAAAAGAACATAAACTAGCCCTAAATCAAGATCTAACAAATGAGACATCAAAATCTGAACTTTATACCTCAAAATGATGCTCCAAGATGTCAAGAGTCCAGATCTACAAGCTAGAGAGCAACCATAATACCCCAAAGATCTTCCTTCTATTATCAAGAACAGTAAATGATACCAAAAAGATGAACCAAGGCTTCAAACACTCTTACACACCTAGGGTTTTCGAAATGAGGATGGGGGCTAGAGTGGTGAAGGGTTTTGAGGCCATAATGTTCTTTAAATAAGGTGCAAACCCTAAAAAATTAGGGTTTGGTCTCTGCGTGCAAACGCCTGGCGTCCATCATAGAACGCCTAGCGTTCTATGCCAAACGCCTGACGTTTGGACCCAAGTGCCAAAAATTAATACAACAAGGTTAAAAGTGTAAATACCTGGAAACCATGGTGTTACAATGTAAAAGATGATAACTAAGAGGATGTAGTTAGACTAAGGTAATTTTCAAGTGTCACCTTTGGGGTTCCAATTTTTATAGATTCAACAAAGAAGAAGAAACACCAAAAGAGAAAACATCTAATAACTTATATTCAACATATCACAAAAGAAACATGTTAAGTTCAAATTTTTATGTATAATGAACTAAAGGAGGTTTGAATCCAAGAATTTTGAGTAGCTATCTTAATTCGGTCAATTAAAATAGCTCTTTATTTGATCAATATAAACAAAAGGATGCCCTACAACATCTGCAGAGTTCGAAAAACAAAACTTAGATCCAATGCTCCAAGAAATCAAGAATCATGAATAATGAATTGCTAAAGAAATAAAGTATGTTGCTATTTACTACAATAAAAATTAATACAATAGAACAGTTAACACACTTCTTAAAGTTTTCTTCTTCTTTGAAAATAGGTTTTATAAAGTTTAGTGGACAAAAAGTAGTTTGTAATTGTATGAAATCTTGCTTAATAATTGTATGTAAAATTCAATTAGGTTATGTTCCAATTTAATAAAAATAGAGATGAAGATAGAAAATAACCAACATCAGGCTCCAAAGTTGCAATGTTCAAGTCTGGGACTAGTTGCTTGATTGAATCTTTGGTCCCATCATAGAACAAATGTCACAACATAAAGCATAAGATATAGCCGCAACTAGAGGAAACACAAATATAAATCCAAAGAATGTTGCAATATTATTATTTATTAGTATAAAAAATTAGAGTTGTGTTCAATTTTTTTTTCCTTTTTTGCTCTTTTATTTAGCATTGAGAATTTGAGTGTGCGACATATCAAAACATTAGATATGATAATATATAAACAATATCTAAAATGAAAAGCATATATTTATACATTCCCGATGTCGGGCATGGAAGAACGATCGAGTTATGGAGATTGAAGTGGAGTCGAGATTTGAAGATAAGAAAAGTCTTAAGAAAAGAGGCAGAGAAGTAATGACAAATTTAGGGTCGGAGAGTTGGGATATTGGTGTAAGAAAAGTTGAAACCATCGCCATAGTAAACCTTAATTCAAAGCTTGGAAGCGACAAAATGGCGGTAGTTAGTAACAAGTAGTGAGGGGGGGGGGGGGTGGAGAGGAATATTGAATACGATCTAGGGTTCATTGCTATTTGAGAGAGTAAGTAAATATTGGTGGAGGGGAAAGAGATCAGAAGAGGCGGTGAGGGTTAGAGGCCAAATGGGGTTTTCTAAATTTTTATGAATTTCATTTCCCCCCTTCTCTATTAATTAAGTAGGATGCGGGTAACCTAAAAATTGTATAGAACAACGGCCGATTTTAGGACACGCAAAAATGCGTGTCGTAATCCTTCAAATTTTATAAGGGGTGCCATTTTTTACAACACCCTTGTGCGTGATAGTTTGTGTGTCACTAAAAGCCTGTATTCTAGTAGTGGTAGCATAAAGATGGTAGGCAAAGAGGTAGAAGAAGCATTATTGGGTTGTTTTGATGAATCAAGAGATGCTCACAGTATTCATAAATAATTAAAGAAACATATGAGAATAAAGAAGCATTTGTTATTAATTCCAATCCAAATCTTGAGAGCTTACAAATATTGGGTAGACAAAATTGCAAAAATGGTCTCTGTGGTTGGCAAAATTATGTAGTTTTGGTCCAAAACGAAATGTTGGTGCACCACTGGTCCAAAATTGGATCTTTTTATTGGTTTTGGTCCCTATTCACTTAAAAAGACAATTATACCCTTATGATTTATACTTTTCCATTTTCTTTAATTGTTGTAATACATAAATTAATTTAAATTATATTTTTCAAAAATAAAAAAACCTACTTTACTCCTTTTCCCTTCCTCGTCTATAACCTTCATCTGGAAAACCCTCCCAAATCACCAGCGGCGTCTGCACAAGCCTTCCACCGTCGGTAATATCCTCCCCTCCTTTAACACATCAGCGCCTTCTCTTCCCTACTTCCTCGATGAGTGTAGAATTTCCATCCCGAACAGCTAGTCTGCCTCCCACGCCACTCCTTCTGTGTAAGGACAAACCAACGTTTTGTACTCTAAATTCCTTATACCCCGATCTAAAATCAACGACGAAAGTTAATGGTGGTGGATCTGAAACCGTGAAGCAAAATCGATTCGCAATCATCTTCTTCGATTCATCATCTACAAGCATTGATTAACATCGGCAGTGGATATTTCAGGAACGCCGAATGTCCATGAAAACATATATTGGTGGAGATCCGGTGATTAATTTCTAAGGATGATGTCGATGGTTATTATGGTATCACAGTTAATGGTGGTCCAACAGTTAAGGTTCTTAAATGGGATGAGAGAAGCCAAAGGAAGGGGTTAATGTTGAATTCATAATTAACGAGGCTACAAAGGTATTTATACTTGAATTGGGTTTGCAGATTTGGTTGTGATATTTCTAGGTGGGTTCTTGTTATTCTTCTGTGATGAACAAAAGTTGGGTTCTTGTTGTAGCCGGAGCAGAGGCAGTAGGAGGTGGATTTCTTGTTGTAGTTGGAGCAACATCACAATTCTTGTGGGAGCTAAGGTTTCCCGAGCACACCACAAAACAGAGGGGAGAGAGAGAGAGAGAGAGAGAGAGAGGGAGAGAGAGTCAAAGGAATGTTGGTTAAAAGTGTTCTTACCTGCAAGCGTTAACAGATGGAGATGGTGGAACGATGGTTGTACCGTTGTAAGAGAGAGAGAGAGAGGTGGATTTATTTTGTTTTTGTTTTTTATTTTATTATAAGAATAAGAAAATAAATAAAAGTAATTAAAATATAATTATTTAAGGGGCATATTAGTCATTTTAGGTGGGATGCGGACCAAAAACACAAGAAAATACAACCATAGGGACCAAAACCACACAAGGTATCTAAAATTGGATCAGTGGTGCACCAACATTTCGTTTTGGACCAAAACTACAAAATTTTGTCAACCACAGGGACCATTTTTGCAATTTTGTCTATTGGGTACATATTTTATTTCAAGGACTTCAACAAATCATATAATCACTTAAAAAGCTTCAAGCCTTTCAATTTAAATCCACTCTTGCTACCAGATAAATGTTTATGTTTACTAGACTTAGGGTGACAATTTATGACACGAAACAATAAAAATATACGACACAAAACGAAATTAGATTGATATTGAAATTTGAATTTGTGTTTGTATCATGCTCGTGTCAAGTGTAAAAAACACGATGGCGTGTCGTGTTTGAAGTTCGACACGAAATTGACACGATTTCGAATTTGTTTGTCGTGTTATGTATGATTAAGTATTAATTAAATAAAATAATTTTTATATTATGTTATCTTTGTCGTGTCGTGTCATGTTTGTCATTTTTTAATTGGTTCGTTTTCGTGTTAGTTAAAAAAACACGGCATCGTGTCGCGTCGTATTCGTGTTACATAAAAACTTGTCGTGTCAAACAAAAATACGACACGACTGCCCAATTTGCCACCCCTAACTATTATTATAAATTTATAAAACAATAAGAAAGAAACAAGTGAAAGAAACCAAAAACACGTAGTTGTGAACTTGTGATGTTGAATCGTTTTCCGATAACAATGATAACGATTTTTGAATAGTTTTTTTAGGCTCCAACATAAAATCATAAAGAAAGCACACAAAATAATTTTTTTATTAGAAAATTAACATGTAAGAAATGAAGAACAATAATGAAATATTACAATTTATACGAATCATAAATCAGATCAACACGAATTAGAAATTAGTCATAATCGGTAAGGCTACGTGAAATCTTATGAACACGAATACACAATAGATTTTTGTCAAGGATGCATGGAATAAAATTATCAGAATCCATGTATTAAAAAATATTGAAATTAGTAATCAGAAAACAAAAATTGAAATCAGAAATCAAAGGTTGCATCAAAAACTAGAATCAATTTATTATGAATTGATTTTTTTGTTACCGTTTAAGAAATTAGAATTGATTCATAGATACCTTTGATCGCGGTGGCGAGAGGCCTAATGTGATAATTATTTTAAAAGAATCGCACGTTCCGTAATCTTCTCTGTTAAGTTTGTTTTGACTCAATTTCCTTTTATTTTCCGCTCAACAGTTATACACGACATACCAAACTTTTTTTCTATACTAAAATAATAAAGTGTATAAAAATTGAGCCTTAAAAATTTGGAGACTTTGAGCCATCTTCCAAGCTTCCCCATGTATTGGCACAACCCTCACCGTAAGAAATTGAAACCACATGACCATCCATATAACAAAAAAAATTGAAGACTAAACATGTGAGTTTGAAAAAACCACAAGGACCATTTATGTAATTTTGTCTAAAATATAAAGTAAGAAATGAAAATGAAAATGATTCATGGTTGTGGAACTGACTCGATACCTTTCCGTGCAGAGTAGTTTCACGGCGTGGTTCCTAAAAAAATATCTGTCCTCACCCCTTGAACACGATGGACCTGGGCACCTCCACCGCCGGACCTCCTCCGTCGAACAAGAGGAGAAATGTCTTTTCTCCCACAAAAATTCAAGCCCTCAGTGACGACATTAGTTCTGCGGTTTTCTCGTTCCTTGATCTCGTCCATCTAATTCGCTGCACCGCCGTCTGCAAGTCATGGTAAGCTAACCCTCCTGTTCAGATCCAGCTCACAAGAAGCGATACAATATCTGCAAAAAAAGTTGTTCATTAATAGAAAACGCATCTTTATTTGCTTTCAATTTCAAGGGTTTGGTTTTCATATAGGGAAGGCTCTGAGAGCGTGGTTTGAATTTGATGTTAAATTTGACTGTAATAGCTGAAGTTGCTAATATCATGAGCTTTATCACTCAGAAAAAGTCAAAACCATTATCAATCATCCTCTGGAAATTTTACGCCAAGATGCCTCCTTTTGTCCATGTTGATGGTAATGGTTTTGGTAGGCTCTTTAATTTCACTTTGAATGATATTTCATGCAATCTCAGATTGCCAGTAGTTGTTGTTTTCTAGTGTGTATTAGTTGTAGATTCTTTAAGTTGTAAATTTTGTTAGATGAAAAAGCACCACATTCAACTATGTAACATGAGGAATGTTGGTATCAAATTCCATATCAATGCTACATTTTGAAGAATTATGGAATTAACACAAGTTAATTATGAAAGATTTTTGTGGAAAACGTTCTTCTTGGCTTCTAAATTTGCAGGATTTAGGTTGTTGCCAAGAAGATATTAACAAGCATCTTTTCATTTTTCATAAAATTGATTACATGAAACTACTATGAGCATAAAGGAGAAAATGCACTCTCATTTAAAAATAAGTTTTCTTTTTAATTCCTTGAAACTTCATCTTCACCTTACTTTCTTCTCGTATCATTGATTGAAGGAGACAAGTCATTGATAAATCAAAGCTACTCCAAACTTTGTGTTACAAGCAAAGAGGGATTTTTGGTGGAGATTTTGACATATCTACCCCTTCAGAAGGAATTTGGAGAAGACTTCAGGCCTTAGCTATTAGTCAACATCAGTCTTCTTTACGTGCAGGTTCTGTTGATATTTATCAATGGAGAGGTCATTCTGATGGGTAATAAAGTCAATTAACCAATGTATCTTACTTTTGTCACTGTTCATATATTTTCATTGTATTATCTTTTCTTTCTATTATGGTTTATTATTCTCAAGACATTTGGTTATTTATGTTACATTTTGCTTCTTTATAGGATTGACAAATGCAAAATGAAGGTGGGACTACTCCTCACTGGTGGAAGTGGTAAGGTATTTAATTTCTGCATCATTTTTCCTTCATATTGTTTTCATATCACATCATGTTAAGAAAAATGCATTCCTTTTTTATTTTTTTTATAAACATCAGTATTTCCACATTTGCTAGGTGATGCGCCTATGGTCTGTAGAAAGATACAAATGTCTGGCTGAGTATGATCTTCCACATACAGGTTCTTTAATTGACTTTGATTTTGATGAGAGCAAGGTACTTCTGTTTACATTCCTATTTCTTGCATTTAGCCCTAAAATTAAATTTACAATCTTTATTAATGATCCTAATGTACATCATTCTTCACATTTTGTACCCATGTTAATTTTTTTTAAAGGTTGTTGGATTAGTTGGGAGTAACATATGTCTATGGAGGCGCAAAGAGAAGAAAAATATATTTTCTTCACAAGGTGTTCAATTTCCTAGAGCTTCTTGCATGTGGTAAGTTGTTTTCTCATCAAGGCATCATACTTTGAAAAATCTACCCAATTATTGCAATGTTGTAATAAGTAAAAATCAAAGTAGAATGCTATAATAAACAAATCAATCAAAGTACATTGCTATATGCAGCTATGTAGATCCAGAAGCTGTTGTTGGATGTGAGGATGGAAGAGCGCGTGTATTTGATATGTATGGAAGAAAATGGGCTAGAATCATAAAGTATGACAAGTAAATAATAATTACATTTATTTGTTACAAGTATTTTATTGTAGTTATTATAATTAAAATATTGTAGGATGCATGATGGACCTATTACATGCTTATCTTTGAGTGATGACCATTTGCTTATTGGTGGCTCCTCTTTTGGGCGTATATCTTTATCAGATCTTTCATCTGATCAACAAGTGGGAACACTCAAGACAAATGATTCTGCAGGTTGGTTGTGGGCCCCGTTTTTAAAATATTTTAATTTTTTCAATGTTTAAAAACATTTGACTTTATGTGTCATCTGTAACAGATTTAAGCACTTTGTGTTACAACTCAAGTTCAAAAATATTATTTGTTGGATCAAGAGCAGGGAGAGCATCTTCGTGGGACCTACGGTATGATGATTCATGTGTATTATCAATATGATATGATCACTAAAAGTTTCATACATGAAAAATTCAATGATAAATTACACGAATGGTCCCTATGGTTTGGGGTAATTTGCACGTTTGGTCCCTAACTTATTTTTTTAACTCGGAAGGTCCCTACTGTTTGTTTTTGTTGCGCGCTTGGTCCCTGTCTTACCTTAAAAGACTATTTTGCCCTTGATTTTTTAATTTATTTAAATAAACACACCCCCAACCTCACTTCCACCTCACCTTACCTTACCTATCCCACCTTATTTAAATAAATTAAAAAATCAAGGGCAAAATAGTCTTTTTAGGTAAGATAGGGGACCACACGCGCAACAAAAACAAACTATAGGGACCTTTCGAGTTAAAAAAACAAGTTAGAGACCAAACGTGCAAATTACCCCAAACCATAGGGACCATTCGTGTAATTTACTCAAAATTCAACAATATGAGTTGCAAGAAGTGGCAAGTTCTTTCATTGATTCCAAAATTAATAAAATGTTGTGATTTTCAGGATGATGAAACGATTGTGGGAGGTGAGAGTGAGTCCAAATGTCCTAACTTCAATTCAACACATGCGTGATGACACATCAATATTAGCAGTAGGAGGAATAGATGGTGTTTTACACCTTGTGGGCCCACAAAATGGTGACATTTTGTCAAGTTGTATAATGGATGAAAGTAGTAGGAAATTATATAGATCACAAAATCATCATCAATCAAAGGTTACAAGAAAAAAAGGAATAAGAGTTTTGGAAGATGCACGGATTGATTTAATGCCAAGAACTTCACGACCTTCAATCAATTGTTTGGCTGTTGGGATGCAAAAAGTTGTCACTACACATGCCGATGGGTACATTAGGGTTTGGAGATTTGGTAAATGAGAAATGAAATGATTCATTGTTGTTTTTATATTTTGAGAATATATTAATTAGCTTGAATTGTAACATTTATGATTATTACTAAATCTAGACGATTATAGATATAATGAGTGTGGATCGTAATAGGTTATAGTTTGTTGGAAATGTTTGATTAATGTATTTGAAGTTTATTAATAAAAATAAAGGATATGATTCTAGGGTTTATATGCAAATTGGGGCTAATTAAATGTGTATATTGATGGATTTGTTTTATTCATGATGACTAGTTAATTATCTATACACGTCATCTTTGAAAGTAAATTGTTTCTTTAGCCAAGAGTTTCAACAAAATGTGATATGAAGTTGAGTTATATGGATGGATTATCATAAAATGTGAATGTCTTGTGAAAGAGGATGATGATTCTATGAATACGGGTGCTTGACATTTAATTGAGTATGTATACAAATTGTGAAGCTTATCAGCTAAAAGTTGGTAAATAACTGTTAATTGGTGAAATCATCATGAATAGGTGGAGTTTATGTGAAAAGAATTATAATTTCATGGATTGTGACACTTGTATGGGATACATGAAAATTGCAACCGATTTTTGAATTCATGTTGTATTCATAAGGTTAGTTATGTGATTACAAGTGTACATGTTTTATCATGCTAAACATCAAACTAATGTTTATGCAAGTTGTCAACCATGTTATGTAAGTATGGTTGATTGGAATTTACACGTGGATGTGTAAATATCATTATACTAGCATGGCTCATAGTAAGGTTAAAAATGATGGTAAAAGTGAAACATGTATAATAATTACATATAGGATATGTAAGTTATATGCAATGCATAACATGGTATCTAAGTAAAGTAAAACCCAACTAGGATAACATAAGTATTAAAATATCATTGTAAATAACTGAATTATATTAAACTATCGTAATTGGTATAAGTATGTATGAGTAAGCCTAAGATAATATTGATAGCTATGCATGACTAAGCCTAAGGTAATATTGATAGGCTTATCACTTATGATATGTAAATGCCAGTTATGAATGGTAAATGGTATTTGATAAAAACTTTTTATCAAATAAAAATTAGTGACTAATAATGAACATTAACTGACATGTTAGTAAATTAATAAGTTATATGAACGGGGTTTAATAAAACATTTAAGTTACATAAGTGATAACTTAGTCAATTAAAAAAAAGTATTTTTGAAAATGTTAGTTATTTGATAAAAAAACTTTTTATGAAATAAAAATTAGTGAAAAAATAATGGATCAAAAGTAAAAACTTTTAAGAAATGAACCATCCAAGATATTCCAAGTATGTCACATTAAAATTTATAATCAAGTATCTTCCATCTAAAATAACAAATAAAAACTCATAGCGGCTACTGTTCATTAATCGTTACACATAAAATGGACATTAACTATTCATTATTATTTATAAGGGAAAATGACTTATGAGAGTAAACAAGTTTCGATTTTATTCATATTTGGTCACTTTTTTTTTATATAATATACCATCGAACTTGTTGTTTGTGTTCACCATAACCCTTTTGACAGACTATCACAAGTGATAGTCTGTCAAAAGGGTTATGGTGAATATGAACAATAAGTTCAATAATATATTGCATAAAAAAATGACCAAATGTAAACAAAATCGAAAGTTGATTACCCTCCTTAGTCATTTTCCCAAATATTACAAATGAGTTGAAAAATATGAATTGAAAATCAATGAGATAGTATATGTCAATGCCAATTACATGTTTGGGGGAATAAAAAGGTTCTCCAACTATTATTGGCAAAATCGTTCAACAAATGCAAATCGAAGTACAAATAACTGTAATAAAAACATTAAATAAGTTTTGATGGTTAGTTCTTCTCGTATGGATGTGAAGTCGACGAACATATATAACATCAACATCAAATACTAAAGTTGAAGTTGATCATCTTAATCAGAATGACAACTCTTGTCAAATTTTTTCTAATGATTTCGGGGAGGACATTTATAGAGTTTTTTTAGAATGACGAGGATGGTGAATACAAACCTTTATCAACGAATGAGACTATATTTTATCTTTTTTGAATATCCTAGTAGGTCTAGAGATGGATTTACTTGAGATACCTAAGGAGTATCAGTGGACCCTTTCTAATGATAACGATGATATGAGGAAAAAAGAACAATGAGTATAATGTAAAAACTGATGCTTGATTCACTGTACAAAAATGTTTTCTTTAGTAAAATAAAATGAAACCTTACTTTTGGGAAAATGACTGAGGAGTGTAACCAATTGTTGATTTTGTTCAAGTTTGGTCATTTTTTTTGTACGCAATATACTATCAAACTTGTTGTTTGTGTTCACCATAACTCTTTTGACCGGCTATCACCTGGGATAGCCGGTCAAAAGGGTTATGGTGAACACAAACAACAAACTCGATGATATATTGTGTAAAAAAAGAAAATGGACCAAATGTGAACAAAATCAACAGTTGGTTATCCCCTGAGTCATTTTACCCGTAAAAATTAACATAGGGATAGTCAGAACTAAAGAAATAACACAAAAATAGATGGGATGAGAAGATAACACATAAATAATCCGAGCGAAAAAATAACAAATGGATAGTTTGATCGAAAAAATAACATTGGGATAATCCAACCGAAAAAAATAACACATGGATAATCCGAACGAAAAAAAATAAGCCAATAATAGTACGAATGGAAAAATAACACACAGATAGTCCAAACGGAAAAATAACATAGGCATAGACGGATCGAAAAAAATAACACATATATAGTCGTATTTTTTATTAAACAATAGATAGGACATCATTGTTCATAAAAATAAATATACAACTCTATACAAAACACAAATACTTAAAAATAAAATGACATAATTAATTAAACTATGATAATTTTAAGTAATAATAATAGAAAAAAAAACAAAAAACAAGAAAAAAAACAAAAAACAAAGAAAATGACAAAAAAAAATCAAATCAAAATAAGTTAAATCAAATAAGAGGAGTTTGTATTTAAGTAACATAAAAAGGTATTAAAACAACACCTTAAGGTTGTGCGGAGTGGGGCGCGGTTCCAAACCGTGGTTTTGCCAGCTGGACCGCGCACACCGCCTCCTGGGTGCGGTTTCCTGCGGTTTTGGCCGCAGTGCGGCGAGTTATGGCCGCGTCTCGTGATTGGCTGCTGCTTTTTTTGACCGTTGAACGGTCCTTTGCGCAGTTATTTTTATTTTTATTTTTTTTCTTTACTTTTTTTTTAAATTCACCCTATATATACTTAACATTATTTATAAAATTTTCACAATAATTTCTTATCTTTTTACTATCTCTTTTTCTCAAATTTTTTTCAAAATGTCTTCTTCCAAAAGACCCACCAAAGAAAACACACCCGCTAGAAACACCGCAACCCCAATACCTTCATTTAATCAACCCATTTTTTTACCTCCGTATTATCACTATGACGGTATGCTTCCGTATTTTCCACAACGACCAATGCAACCACTACCACAAACACTACCACAACCCGACACAGATTTTAATCCATTTGATTTTTTGTCTGAACCCGAGTTTGTTCAACAAACACAAACACAACCACAAACGGCCGTTTCTGATTCCGAACCGGAGTTTGTTAAAGAAACTCAGTCCACTCGAGCAGCAACTAAAAGAAAAGATAAGGCGGAGGCTAAATGTTGGGAACCCCTAGAAGTGTTAGTATTGGCACAATCTGGGATCGATGTTTCAGAAGATGCGAAGATTGGAAAAGACCAAAAGCATGATCGTTTTTGGATTCGCGTTTTACATAGGTTCCATAAAGGAATGAACCGTGGAGAATACCGTTTAAAACATCAAGTGTACTCGAAATGGGGGAAGATGAACAAGGAAATCATGTTGTTTAATGATTTGTATACCAACATGAAACGTCAATGGAAAAGTGGAGAAAACGATGATGTGATTTTGAAGAAAGCGCTGAAAGTGTATCAAAAAGAAAACCTGAAAGCTTTCAAGTTTCTTGAAGTTTGGAATTTTGTGAAAGATAACAAGAAATGGCAAAACAGCAAAACATCAGACGAGTATATCGACAGTAGTTCAAAACGCAACAGAACATGTAAGTCCGACCACACTACATCATATGCTCGTGTTCAGTTCGATCTGAACGAAGAGGAACCTATTCCAGTTTCACCACCTTCCCGACCAATGGGAAGAGACAAAGCAAAAAGCAAAGACAAAGGCACATCGTTGGATTCAGATTAGTTGAAAGAAATGGGGGCCGACATGAAGGGTATAAAAGATAGAATGGACAAGATTTTGCAAATTGCTTCTGAAAGAGAGCTTCGGAAACAAAGGGAAAGCGACATGAGAATACTAGAGATGGACACGTCGAATATGATCGGGGACGAGCTACAAATTATTTTGGCGATGAAGGAGGAAGTGAAAAAACATTACACAAATTGTGGCTAACTTCTAGTTTTTTTTCAAGTTTTTAATCGTTTGGTGTTTTTTTTTATTTTTTTATTTTTTTTTATTTTTTTTTATTTTTATGTTTCTAATTTGCTTTTCTAAATTTTTAGGTTTTTTTAAGTTAAGCACTATGTGATATTTTTGTTTTTAATTAATGAAATATTATTTTTAAAAAAAAATAAAGATTTTATCCAATAAAAAAAAAATAAACCCAAATAATGCAATGTAATATTTTATTTTTATTAAAAATGAAGTTTTATTTGATTAAATTATTAGAAAAAAAGAGTGTGGCAACACTCATTGGGTGTGGCAAGAAACCACTTATGTGGTAAAAAATGATGTGGCGCACATGTGGCAGTGAAGGGAGTGCGGTTTCGGTGGCACCATTCCCTCCGGCCTAATAACTAGCTAATGTAGCATTCACTACTACACAATGAACCTTCACCCACAAAAATTACCCACAGACAAAATCCGTGGGTAATTACCCACACATTTGCCACAGATTTTCTACGACTTAAAAAACTCTAATTTACAAAGTATTTCTTACGGATTACACACAGATTACCCACAGAAAGAAATCTGTGGAAAATCCGTGGGAACAATATCGCCATCACCCACGGCTTACCCACATATTGTTTTTTTCATTTTATTTTCATAATCAAAGCATGTTGTCTTCCTTTTCAAATATGGTAATATCGATCTAATTAAAATAATTAAAAATAATCATAACCTTTTTTGTTTT